AAAGAATTTTAAGATATCTACAAGGAAGTAAGAAACTGGGATTAACTTATTATAAAAATACAGATTGCCAGATAACACTCAATGGATACTCAGATGCCGATTGGGCAACAGATAAGAAAGATAGGAAAAGTGTGAGTGGATGTATATTATTATATGGTAATAACCCAATATCATGGTTTTCAAAGAAACAAAACTGTGTGGCATTATCAACAGCTGAAGCTGAATACATTGCAGCAGCACAAACAGCTCAAGATTTAATCAATGTCAAGGGTATACTGGGAAATTTTAATGTAATTGTCAAAACAATTTTATACTGTGACAATAAAAGTACAATTTTAATGTCTAACAGTAATGAAAATTTGAAAAGAGCAAAACATGTAGATATAAAAAATCATTTTTTAAAAGACTTAATTTCTAAGAAAGAAGTTGTAATGGATTATATATCAACTGAGCAAAATTTAGCTGATATTTTAACTAAATCTTTAGGTACCGAGACTTTCATAAATCTAAGAAATAAAATTTATGTTATATGAATTGTAATATCATTTTGTTAATTATAATAGTTACGATTTTCATCTTCGAACATTTCAAATCGAGGAGGAGTATTGGAATTTTGTACTTGGCAACACTGGCTCACAATGTCTTAAGTGATTCCGGTTGTCATATGTCAATTGTAAAATATATATTTTCTAGAATGTAGCACATGTTTAGTTTTTAGTACTTTTGTAAAATAAAGTAATCAAATAATTCACTGCTATCTCTGTATTACCTCACTGGGAAACAACAAATTCTAATAAATTTTTCACCAAGTAACAAAAAAAACCAAAACTTTGTATTTTGAGAACGATTTCCGAAGTAGAAATTGTCACAGTCAACTAGTTGATGGTTAATTCAAAAAAACTACGTTTTGTGTAGACGTAAACAGAGGCACAACGAACACTTCACGTCGACAAGGAAAATTAGCTGATCTGAGAGACTACTACAAAACTAAAAATAACATCCCGTGGACACTCGGGCGGTCGGTTGAAAATAGAATAACTATGTAGTTATTCTAATTGACGAATGAGTTTCGACTTTCGATTGATCTGCATTTTCGATTTCAAATCTTTATTGATAGTTCGTTAAAGGATTTATTTATTGTAAATATTCAATTAAAAAGTATTCTCTTAGTTAAAATTATTTACCTAGTACAAGCATAATAATTGTATTTTTAAAATATTTTCATGCACATTAATTTGTAAAAGATGCAGCTTTTATGCTCGACTTTCTGAATTTTGCAGTGATCGATTATTTTTAATTTGAAATATTAACACATGAGTCCCCGATTCATGTTTTATATTATTCAGCAAACATAATTTTTATTTGGAGTTTGTGTTTTTGTCTTACGTAAACGTGAATTTATTCTGTAAGTACTGAATTTTGCTAACTGTTTGTGTGTTTAACATGTCTGCGCGTAAAGAAGTATTTTATGGCATCACTTCGAGAAATACATTAACAGTGAGAAGGCTGTATGCAATATTTGCAAAGAAAAACTTAGTTATAAATCAATTACAGCAAATTTGAAAATCCGTTTAAAGTATATCAGTATTTTTTTTTCTTTGATTCAAGAAAGAATGTTTGTTTATGTACTCGCTTATTTGAAACTACTGTTAAACAATCAACCAGTTAAATAATTTAATTAGTTTTTCAACTTGTTACTTGTTTACGAAAAACGGTTCAGTTTCGTTAACGATAAAAACGTCAACGATTCATCTCCACTGCCCTTACTTTGAGAACTCGACGTTGCCAAATAATTTAATAAGTAGCTTTTTTATTGTGGTGTCATAATGCAGTTTAGTATTTTTATTCGGAATAAGGCACAATGTGACTTTAAAATAAGCATATTTTGATGTTTAGATTTTTAATTCGGAAATGGTATTTAAAATACGAAACATTAATAAATTTTATTTACATAAAACGATTTCCGAAGTGGAAATCAAAATGTTAAATTAAACTTATTCTAAAGGATAATTGTGGCATATTTAAAATAAAAAACAGTAAGCTGCCATTTAAATAAATTCGCCCAAATTTGATTATCTTAGAATATTCTTAAAGTGCTAAAAAGACAACATGTCAAATAAATCCAAAAAGTTTAACAACGTTGAACTTCTCCTCTTTTCTTATTTCCACTAATGCATGTGAAGGGTCCAGGGCAAAAACGACATTAGTCCATTTTTTCAACAAACTGAGGTCACCATTGATTTTTGTGGTACTGTTAGGTTACTTTCAAGTAGTGATACCGTTAATCTGTAAAAACAGCGTAGATCCTTAAAATAACCATTATAAGATTTACTATACGGGGGAAGAATGGCATGAGCCCGTTAGCGTGTATGGAAAAAGGGCATCAGTCCCTGTTATCAGTTGGTGTCGGTAAGTCAATTGTTGCATCAGCCGTTAGTTTACCACTCATAGCCACGTGCATCTGTTGTATATTGATACTTTGTGCATATTTCTGTAGTGTAAAAGTTTTTAAAGACACAAGAATTATCATGGATAATCACTATTCAGTGTCCAGTGAAAGTGAAACTGGTCTATCAAGCAGGGAAACGAAGAAACGTAAAAGAACTGGCAGAGGGCGAGATGTAATGAAAATTTTACGTGCCACAACGCATGAATTGGGACCCGACTGTTTTTGTAAACGTTTTAAATGTTTTACTGTGGTTCCTGAACCTGAACGGTATAGAATAATTCGTGAATTTAATAAATTAGGTAACACTGATGCACAAAACTCTTACATTAGTGGTCTAATCAGTGTTCTTCCTGTCAACCGCAGGCGACCTAGAAAAATCGCTGAAGAATCTAGACTTAATAGTGCTTCCTTTAGTTATCGTGTTCGAATAGTTGAGGATGGAATTACTCGTGATGTTTCATTATGTATCAAAGCTTTTTTATCTTTCCATGGAATCACGGGACGTCGAGTTAGATACGTTAGAGACTCCCTGCTTTTTAATGGGAAAGCACCTATCGATATGCGAGGAAAACATAATTCGCGACCTCACAAACTTTCTGAAGTCACAAAGCAAAAAGGTGATGGAGTTCATTAAAAGTCTAAAAGGACGCAAATCTCATTATTCTTTAGCAGACTCGAATAAAATTTACTTACCTGAAAACTTAAACATAGTGAAATTACACAAAATGTATTCCGAAACAAACGTTGAAAATAAAATATCCTACGAATCCTTCCGTGACATTCTTGAGTCAAATTTTAATATATCGTTCGGAGATCCACGAAAAGACACTTGTAGCACGTGTGACTCCTTAAAAGCCGACATATCATCGATAACTACATTATTAAATTCTACTTCGGACCTTGAAACTAGGAAAACAGCAAGTATTGACAAGTATGATATAGAAAAAAAGACACGTGAAAGGAATCTACATCTAAAAAAAAAGTGAGCGATTTTATAGTCTAAAAAGAAGTTACCGCAAACGTGCTTCAAAGTCCTCGACTATGGAAGATATAAGCATGGATTATCAAAAAAACTTACCATGTCCAAATATTACAACCAACGACGTATACTATAAACGTCAACTAAACTTCATCAGTTTCAACATTCATATTCTGTCGGATTCAAAATCTGTATTTTATACCTACGATGAATCTGTTACTAAGAAAGGAGCTGACGATGTTTGTTCCATGCTGAATCACTTTTTTTTATAATATTCTGCTCATGGAAGTAAAAGAACTAGCTATTTTTTGTGATTCCTGTGCAGGACAAAATAAAAATTTTACTATTATTCGATTCTTGCATTACTTAGTTACAAGAAAAAATCGTTTTGATATTGTGAAAGTAATATTCCCTATTAGAGGGCATTCATATCTTGAATGCGATCGAAACATGAGCCTTGTCAATCAGAAAGCATATACTGAGGTACCAGAGGACTGGAGAGACGAATTGCGAAATTGTCGTTTGAAACCTACATCATTTGAAGTGATTGATTGCAGTAAAAATTTTGATTTTCAAAATTGGACTTCATTTTTATCGCCGCTATACCCAACGAAGTGCCCTTTCCCAACTCGACCAATCAGAATGCTTAAATTTTGCAGCAAGGATAATCGGTTAATTTTCCATAAATCTACGTATATGGGTTTATATTATAATTCTAAATTCGAAAATAAACCGATTAAGGCGTGCCGCAAAAGGACACAAAATAATCACAATAAAAAAGAAGTAGGAACATTACGAAAACTTTATCAAGGCGCAATTCCTATTAAAAAATCCAAATGGAAAGATCTGCAAGATCTAACTGCATTCCTCGAGAAATCAGAATCCAGGTTATTTTATCAATAATTAACAGTAGTTGTTGTCGAACAGGTAGAAATTTAAAAAAATAAAATGAGAGAATTATCCAAAATTTTTATTTTGTCGTAGACTCGCAGACCACACCCGATGAACGGAGGGCTTAGAAGTCGCCAGTGTCACTTTTGACTTTTAGGTGTTTTGTCAAAGTGGTAATTTAGAAACTGGCACTATGTCAGTTTCTGGCGGATTGTTGAGGGAGAATCACGTCGTGGTAAGTAAAAAAGTGACATTTTTTCTTTAGTGCCGGTTTTCACGTAAATTATGTACAGTTATTCGGCCAAATTAATGAATGAAAAACTGACATTATAAGTATAGTGTCGGTTTTTTAATAACCTAAATGATTAAGTTCTTATGTCAACGAATTAAATAATAGCATTTTTCGTTAAGTGCCATATTTTCTAAGGAGTGGAATGAGATTATACTGTTTTTTGTAAATCGATAAATGTCAAATTTAGTTTAATGTCAGTCTTTTAGTAAAAATAATAGGACAATCATGCTGTATTTTAACAAATAAAAGACATTTGCAGTTTCTCGTGTGTAATGGTTTTATAATAATGTAGCATAAATAACTGTGACTATTTCTTGAAAAAGTACCTAATTTTAATGTTAATATACAATCAAAATATTGCTAACTGCATCTTCTTGGTTTAAGGTGTTATAATCATGGACAATTCACACAGTAGAATTAGAAGAATATTACAATTAGTAGCTCAAAATAGAGGTAGTCAAAATCCAGTATCTGAAAAAATTAAAGAAAATTGCCTAAGTTTAGTTTTTACAGAAACTAAATCCAACCATTTACAAACATCCAGCAACGACTTCGGTTCGTTTAACAACGAAAACTTACCCAGTAATGACAGTGGTGACTTTTCACCCGCTTCGGACGATAACAGAACCTACGCACCTCAAAAAAAAAAAGATGCCGCAAATCTAACTCTTCATCTACTTCCAGATCTTCATCTTCTTCCAGCTCGTCCTCCTGGTCTACAAGATCTTCTACATGTTCTTCCTCACATTCTTTCACTAAATGTGTAGCTTACGTAGATGAAAAAAATTCAGAACCTTCTAATGAGAAGGAAATAATCATACATGAAGAAGTAGTAAGTAAAAATAGTGGTGATTTGACGACAATTATAAATAAAAATAATTCAAATTCTTTTAACAAAGATTTTAATGAACATGTTACATGAATATAATGACATTGGTGATGAGTGGCATGATATGACTTACAAGCAGAAAAATCAGTTCCAAATGGTAAGATATCAACTTTCTATTATAAGTCTAAAGTAAATTGCTTAAATTTCACTATCTCTGAACTCAAACAGGACACAACTGAAAGCTTCTTTTGGGATGAATCACAAGAAAATCGCGGAGCTAATGAGATAGGTAGTCTTTTAAAGTATCTATAGAAAAACTGCTGATGAAGAATTGAATGTCATCTGTTATTCTGATAACTGTTGTGGACAGCAAAAAAACCAGTTCATTATTGGGATGTACATACATACTGTCCTGAATTTAAAAATAAAATCCATTACACATACATTTTTAATAGGATCTTAATTTTAAATCGATTAGGTCTTAACACTCTTCATGGAACTAGGCAGACTTCATTATTTCATCTACCATTTCATCAATTTAATTATGAATACTTCAAGCCTCTTACTCATATTTATGGTGAGACTATATAATAGGTACCAAAGTGATCTGTACTTATTTTTCCAGTCCTTCAATTTAAAAATGTGATAAAGAGACTGCTATTTGTGTGATATTAGTTTGTATTCAAGTTAATTATTAGTTTTTGTTAAACTTACTAATTATTTTCCAATGTTATGCTTACTTTGTAAAATTTTATATATTATATATTGTTCCAATGTAAATGGTATATCCGTCAATAAATAAATAATAATAAATAATAATAGGTGGCGATACTCTGAACGAAGGAGACGCTGTACATTCTTTGATTGAAAAACAAGTCAAAAGATGTCGTAAGTCAGGACCAATATATGTACCTTAGCAATATGTTTGTGCTATTCGAAGCGCAAAAAAAGAGGGACACCTTTCACTATAATGGAAATGAGCTATGGCGATTTCTTGGATATAAAACAATTACCAGTCCCGAGGCTGAATAAGAGCATAGATGGCCAAGTTGTAAAACTGTCTGATTTAAAAGTCAAAGTTGAGAAAAATGAACATGAAGAGATAAAAATAAGCTACAAAACATCTTACTTTGATTATTTTAAAGAGCTTTACTTAAATAAAAGAACCAATAGAAATATTAACCAATACAAACCAACCTTAAAATATTTCGAATAGTTAATGACCTAGTTGATGCCTCTTTATTACAGAATGACATTAAAAGCTTAGCTAGTTGGTGTGAGGTAAACATGCTATACTTAAATATACAAAAAATTACTTTTGGAAGATCAAGAGAGTTTGTAAATTATGATTATTGTATAAATAATGTACCTTTAGAGGTACGTCATAATATTAAAGATTTAGGTATAAATTTTGATTCTAAACTAACTTTTAAATATCACATTAACGAAACTTCAGCTAAAGCTTTAAAAATGTTAGGATTTATTCTTAGAAACTTTAATCAGTTTTCAGTACAAACTTTAAAAATGTTATACTTTAGTTTAGTTCGACCAGTTTTGGAGTATGGTTCTCTCATTTGGTCTCCTTCATATAACAGTGACATCAACACTATCAAGAGAGTTCAAAATAAATTCTTGAGGGTATGTGCTTACAAAATTGGTTTTATTAGACAGCAATACACATATGATGATATAATGTCAATACTAAATATCTCATCACTACATGATAGAAGATGTCAAGCCGATTTATGTTTCCTTTTTAAAATTATAAATGGATATGTTCAAGATCCAGAGTTACTAAGTTTAATAAGTTTTAATGTTAACACTAGAAGAACTCGTAACACTGAGATTTTCAACATTCCATTCCACAGTACGAATTATGGCCAAAATGAACCCATTACAAGAATTTTACGAACTGCCAATGAGCACAGCAATAGTTTAGAGTTATTTGGAATATCTACAGCAACATTTAAGAAATCATTTGAGAGATTTTGAGCATTATTTAATAACTTAAGCTACTACTTTAATTGAATTTTGTTTGATTTTAATTTTGGTTTGTTTTTTATTAACGCAACCTATATATAAGCTTTGTAAAAGTTGACGTCATATTTCTGTAAAAATGGTATATCCGTTAATTAAATAAATAAATAAATAAATAAAAGAACCAATGGAAATAGTCGTCCTTCAGAAATCAAACCTCTGTATCAGCGTAAATTGGATATATCATAGAGAAAGAAAGATGATATAACAAGTCTTATTGTTGCTGGCTTAATTTCCAATTATTACAAATTATATTATGCAAGTATGTTTTGATAATATTTTTTATATTTTTTGATAAGTTTTTTAATTATTTTAAGTTCGAAAAAATGTTAAGTGACATTAAGTATTATTAATGGTTTGTTTACTTTTACCAATAAACGATTTTTCTTTTTAATATGACACAATTTTGTTTTATTTTTCGCTTTTTTTATCATAAGGTAAATATTAACTTTAATTTTTATTCTAATAATCAGAACATTTATGTAAAACAAAAGTAGTACTATAAGGAATTTTTTTTAAAGATTTTTTTCTAAATTAGTAGTTATATTATTAACTTGCCTTCTTCGGTAGAAAATAACTGTATTTTAAGCAAACTGTTAAACAACATTAATTATAGTATTTAATTCAGTTATTTTAGTTCAACATTCATTACAGAACTGTTCGAAAAACTTTAAACAGTCATACTGAAATATCTAGATTTTGGGATATGTTTTTAAGGTGCGATATATCCAATATTTGTAATCAATGCTTGTACCTAATACTTCGACAAAATAATAACAGTAGAATTGGTAACAATAGAACAATTTAATTGTAAGTGTCCAACATCCCATTCAACATGACGTGATAGCCCAGATAATTGCATCTGACAGGTGATCAAATATTTATCACATGGATGGAGGTTCATATCATAATTTGTTAGTTGTCAAATTTAAATAAAACTGATGTAAAAATGCATATTCTGGTTTTTGATTTATGTAATTATGATAGGTTATGTAATTTTTTCAAGAACTGAAGAAAAAGTAATAAGTGGAAATTCTTCTTTATTTATTCTTGAAATTTCAAGGTTTTTATTAATGTTTAAATAATTATAAAATCTTTGAATGTTATGTGTTAATTAAGGAAATATTAAAACTTCACCTAACATTGCAAGAAGGACCTGCATTCGCATACATTTGGCACAATTAAATTAAAACTTTTGGTTACTTTTTTCCAGTCCACAAAAAACTGAGAATTTTTGAGAAGAGCTCTCTTGGCAAGTAATTACCAATACTTAATTTAATAATTTAATATTTAGGTAATTGTTAGTAATTAACATTGGAATATATATATATATATATATATATATATATATATATATATATAATATATATATATATATATATATATATATATATATATAAAGCTAAGATAATATTGTGAAGATAATATACACAGACATATTTGTTATAAATAGAAGCACTGTTTTAATTAATGAAAAGACTGATATGTTTTTGTATACACTTACGACAAATCAAAAGTTGGAAAAAAGAAAGTATTTTTAAAGTGTGTAAAAGATTTTAATTTCTAGCTGAGCACTTTCAGATTACAAAGCCATTTTCATAGCTACAGTTAAATATCAAGTACTTATCCTACTAGGAAAGATCATGCAGTGAGCAGAAAATTGCTGGTTCTGTTTTTTGTTTTCTTTTTTAAACAATAAAAAAACACAATAAGTACTGTACACTGGACTCCACAAAAAGCACATTAAAAAATTTGGTTATAGTAGGGTTGTCAGAACCCACATTTTTACTGAAGTTGAAGCAGGAGATATATCTTCTGAAAAGAAAAATAGAATGAGCAATTTTCTGCTTACCACATGATTGCTTCTAGTAGCCAGGATACTTTATATTTGACCATAACTCCGAAGATGACTTTGTAAGCAGAAAGCGCTCAGCTGGGAATTAAAATCTTTTACACACTTCAAAAATACTTCTCCTTTAACAACTTTTGACTTTTTTAATTTCTTACTTTTTTCACTTGTTTCTTCTTCAAATAATATGAGTTTATCTTCACATGTTTCATTTTCTATCTTTATTGGGTTCTCTTTTATAATTAAATCATCAAATGCATCATTCCTACTTTCCCTCTTGAGCGCCTCGTTAATCTCAACTTTAAAGGTATCAAAAAGATCACCACCATCATTATCTATTTCTCCTTTACATGTGTATTCATTAACTTCTTGTTTTACTTCCATTTCAGTAAATTTAATTTTATCTATATTCACATTCACAATATCACAATACATTGGGACTTGGGACATCAAAGGATCAAAGTGAAGAATGAATACTTACTAACCTAACCTAACTGAATATAGCATACTGAATATAGTCACAGTCGCAAATTCTTCTTCTTCTTCCTTCACAAATCACAAAACGACAATACAAAATATTGCCGTTTGGCAGTGTTGCCATGTTCTTCGTCTTCCATTCATTTGCTTGGCCTTGGCTACCAGGGCTATCAGGACAGGATCTGAATGTTTATACTGAATGTTCAAGAGCCGTACCTAAGGTACATCTGGGCTTAATCTCATAGCTCCTGAACCTGCAACAACATTAAAAGGAAAAAAAAACAAATTAAAGTAAAATGTTTAAAAGTTCTTTCACATAAGTTCTATTTCTAAAGTTCTATTGTTCTAGTCCTATACTACTGCCACAGAATAATAAACAATTAAAATGCCCACTCTGCTTAGACAAATTAACCCGGTTTAATTTATTTACGGCAACTACAGACATAATATGCACTATTCTATTCGTACTTTTAGTTGTAGAATGGATTAAATTATTTCAAATCTACTAAATTATAAATCTCTAAAAATTTAAATTACAATTCTGTCGTAGCTTGTCATGATACTATGATAAGAAGATAAGATATTGCGCATCAGTCGTGACGTCACTGGAGAGTTGCACATTCGAAATGTCAGTTTTTTGTATGTGTCAATAAATAATCTTTAATAAATAGTTTGGAGATATCCTTATGTGTACGATTATTGTAATTATTGAACCTCTTAACTTATTTTCGTCTAGTAATTTCATCACAGAATGCATACAAATCCCATTTAACTTTAACAAGAATTCAAATTCCAGTCTCCAATGACGGCATGCGAGGACACGACCGATTTTGTGCTACGAGAACATCCTATCTTGTTATTCATAGTATCATGGTAGCTTGTCACAAATTTCTCAATTCGAGTCTATGTTTCCATCTAAAACATGGCGTCGCGTGCTGACAAACTTCAAAGGCGGCATCTGAGAGTGGGCATTCTGATTATTATTTATTCTGTGCTACTGCACCAAATCGCACTAAGCACATACAATCCAAGCAAGCAGATTAAATCTTATAATATACCTACATTAGCGAACTACACTTGAGACCTTGTTGACACAAATCCACAAATCATGGACGTATAAACACTCGATGGCTCTGTGAAGTTTGACTAAATGTTTCGTGTTCCAATGCAATAGCGAGCGCTTCATCTAGAACTTTCTGTCTTGCTATTCGTAAAGTTTTCTGTAATATTTCTAATCACATACCCACACTTTCTTTCAACCCACTGATGAAGGTAATTGCAACCCACAGCTATGTCTTCAAAATGTTGTCTGGTGCCTTCGGATAAGCACCGCACTATACGAGCAACATCTGCTTCAAATTCTTGTAAATTTTCACTTGCTCGTTCAATTCTACTTCTTAGTTGTACTTTGTAGACTTATTGCAGATGGGCATCTCCGTAACGTTTGTCTAGTCGATTGAACAAGGTTTGATAACATTTTTCTTTACCTTCAGGAATCGATCTTAGCACAGCATCACCTCATAAACCAGCAGTCAAGGAATCAGCCGTTTCTTGTTCGGTCCAATGATTGGCTATCGAAATAGCTTCTAATTGTCTAAGGTATATGGACCAAGAATAAATTTTTAATTTGAAAATGTTTCTTTCTTTCTAATGATTGAGGAAACTTCTGGAATTAATGATGATACATTCGAGAATGTTTCTCATATGATTGAAGAAACTTCTAGAAAGAATGGTGAAAGATTTGATGAAACTAAAGTTATTAAAGAATCATTTAGACAAAACGACGAGGAATTCAAAAATGTTTCTAGAAGATTCGAGGAGACTCCTCAAATAATTAAAGAAGTTTGTAGACAGAACAATTTGAAATTTGAAGAAATTTCTAGAATATTCGATAAGATTAGAAGCGAAGATCAAACAGAGAGCATGATAACCAATACGGAAATGCTACCAGCAGTTAATGCAGTAATTTTAGATTCTATAGTGAAAGAAGAATCACCGAGAGAAGTCTCTCTTTTGATACATATTAATTGCAGTTAATTATTAGAAAAATAGATAATTGTCCTTTGATATATGAGCAGATAGATTTTTACAAGTCACTTTTAGTATATTGTGAGATATAAATCCTTAAACAGTGTTAAAGTTTAGATGCAACTGAAAAATCCTGAGACGTATTATATTTTTTTGTTAATATAGTTAACAAATATGTTAACTTAGATTTTGGTGTAAAATCAGCACTATAATTTTAATTCTTGTTTTTTTTTTAAATTTGTGAGAGAACACTTTGTCTCTCAATATTAATAAAAATAACTACAGCTTAAAACAATATTTTATTAGCAAAAAACCATAAAATCATGTAAGCTCTCCCAAGGGTCCAATATTTTCAATGGACGGGTCTTCCAAAATATTCTTAAAATACTCCTGTTGAAAGAGTGGTATGAACTGGAGTAAATCCCATATCCTTTTTTTATTGGCGCTACTTTTAAGTGGCGCAGAGTACAGTGGTGTAAGTTCCATATTTTTCATTCATTTAGGGGCTTCTTTTTTATTATTTTGTGGAAAAATGTTGATTCTGTCAAAACTGAAGTCTTCATTCAAAGTGCTGTTATAAAATATTTTGTACGGTTGATCTTTCTCAAAATACAGCCACTGAATGTTTAACCAAGATACTGTACATTTTCATTTTTCTTACGGCGAGTTTTCCACCACCCCTTTTTGTGTTCAAGCAAAACTTTGTATTATTATACATCTCAGTCATTGATAATTTTGCAGTTAATAACTACTTCTGGTAGAGTACTTTTATTTTAATTATTATTGCCAAAACTTATTTTTACACAGTCTTACCGAAATACGAGGTGACTATAAGTTCTATCCATTATATTACTTACATGTTTCCATTGCACTCCACTCCACTTGGACATATTTTAAATCAGCTCAGAGATAAGCAGCAGCACTGTCTTACTAAATTTATTTAATTTGAATGAAATCAAGAGATACAGAACAAAAAAACCAATTCAATAAAAAAATTATATTAAAAATTAGGTGTATAAAAAAACACTCATATCCTATCCCATCTCCAAATTGTGCCGTCATCGCAAACACAAATTAATACGTTTGAATTTCTACTCAACGTGGTCTGTCTAATAGCAGTAGTACATCTAGCTTGATGAAGAGTGTAACACTTTGCCTGAGCTGGATCGGGAACGTCCAAGTCCCAAACAAATACTTTTCCAGTTTGGTTTCCCAAAGCCAAAATCTGAAACAAGAAAGGTAATATTATTACATATTCTTTCACAATTGAGAATTTACTACAGCCCTGACCAGAAAATCCCATTTGGCCAGGAAAATAAGAAAAAAAGTACTCTATTAATTTATTTACACCTAATTTTGGGTCTTGTAGTGTTTAAAATAAATTATCAATATTTCAAAGCTACCGATTAAATAGTTTAAAAGATATTCTATTTGTTTATCGCAAATTAAATTGTTTTGCAACAATATAAGTTAGAAAGTGATGAAGTTACTTGTACCAATACTGTATCAACTGTAGTGACAGAACATCCAACTACATCTGCGTTTCGGGATGTATCGGTATAAAGCACCTTATCATAGTGGAATGTATTCACAATATCCTTGAAAGCTTGTCGAAAATGATATTATTTGTATGTTGCTTATTCAATTTACAGAGGGAAGTGTTTATAAAAGGAGGTGTTCTAGACCATGGCGGGATTCTAATTTTATAGATGCAATTGTTTGAGATAATTTTGTGTCTTGGCGAAGTCAGAAGATTAAATACAGGGTTAGTCGGATTCAACGAAATTCTGCTAGCATAAGATAGGAGTAGTTGCTGCCTCCGAAGATAAAGGGGGAGTTCATTCGATTCACAATAGAAACTTTCAGCGGGACTGGATCGAAAAGCTTCTAAGCAAATTCGGAGAGAAGTTTTGTGAACAGAGTTTAACGATTGTAATAAATTATTAGATGTGGACAAGAAAACTATACAACCATAGTCTAATTTGGATCGGATTATAGCTCGATATATTTTGAGTAGAACACTTTCATCGACACCCCGTTGATGGTGGAACAATGTCTTTAACAAATTCATTTTGCTTAAACAGTTGCCTTATATTTCATCGATATGACGACGCCAGGTGAGTTTGTTATTGACAGTTAGTCCTAAAAACTTGTAATGATCAATTAACTCTAAATTTGCCCCGTTAAGTGTTATTTTGGGTATTTCTGCGCTGTTATATCTCCTGGCGAATTTAATTATTTTGGATTTATTGGAAGAGAACCTGAAGCCAGTTTTCTCGGACCATGTAGCAAAAGACTCGTTTTTGTGATAAAGATCAGGTTGCAGCTGTGGATTTTTCTTGGCAGTATACTGGCGTATAAAAGGAGATTTTATATGAGAGCAAATATCATTGATGGCTAGTAGAAAGAGGGTAGAACTCAAAGTAGAACCTTGGGTACACCATTTTCAGTGACATAGTTGTCGGATAATACTCCGTTAACTGTGAGTCTGAAATTTATATTATTTAAAAAGTTGTACGATTATTTTCTACCAGTTTTTTAAGGATAACCGACTTACATGTTGTATCGAAAGCACTTTCTATATTAAAAATTATTGCGATTACGTATTTGCTATATCTGTTTGTGGGATCACTAAATTATCAGTGGTGCTTCTATTAGGTCTAAAACCTGATTGAGCAGGGTTAAGGATATTGTTTTTTCTAGATACCAGATTAATCACTTTTTCCAATAATTTGCAAAGGGTGCACGTTAAGGAGATTGGCCTAAACGAGAGTTGGGAAGGGAGCTGCTTTTTTGAAGTTATACTTCTATACGCACGGTCGGCATTGGAAATTTGCATGAGAGTGAATCTGTGAAAACATTACATATGTAAGATAATGAGTAAGAGAGAGACAGAAGATATATTTTCTCTCTCTACCTCTCTCGAATTATCACGCATAAAAGTATAGCCAAACAAGTCAACAACTTCATACCAGTGAACGATAGAATCCTCCTGTTGCAAATAAATACGTCACCGGTGAACACAAACATCATACCAAGTCTATGCACCCACAGCAGACCATAGTGATGAAGAAATATCAGAATTCTACAAACAAATAAGCAACCTTATAAGAGATATACCGAGACACGAACTCCTTATAATCATGGGAGATTTCAATGCAAAAATAGGTAACGGAAAAGAAGGGCAACATATTGGTCCACATGGATTAGGAGAGAGAAATCAACGCGGAGAAACAATAGTATCTTTGCAGCTGAACATGACTTAATCGTGCTAAACACATTTTACAAACTACCGCCTAGACGCCTGTATACGTGGAAATCACCTAGAGACAACGGAGAAGACGTTATTATTAGAAATCAAATAGACTATATGCTTGTTAACAAAAGATATCGAAATAGTTTCAACAGTGTCAAAACCTACCCAGGCGCTGATATTCAATCTGACCACAATCCTTTAGTGGGCATGTATAGAACTAAGTTAAAGAAAATACGCGGAAAAACATGACATGAGAAAACTGAAATGTAACGAAGTAAAAGAAATAGTCAGCAAAACATTAAATAGAAAATTTAAAGAAATCGATAATACAACGGAAAGCACAGAAGATAAGATAGAATCCCTTAAGAAAACAATAGACGACATTAAAGACAATTTTATGAAGAACGAAGAAGGTAAGAATAAGACATGGATGACGACAGAGATTCTGCAACTAATGGAAGAAAGAAGGAAAAACAAGAACGATAACTCCATGTATAAAACATTACAGCGAGAGATACAGAAAAAGATCAGAGAAGCCAAACAGAAAGAACTGGAGAAAAAATGCCAAGAAATCGAAATTCTCCAAAGTAAATACGACGACTTCAACGTGCATAAGAAGGTAAGAGAAATTACAGGTAAATGTAAAAACAGAAGAGTAAGTAAACTTGTTAATGACAATGGAGAGATAATCGTGGACAAAGAGAGTATCAATGATACCTGGAAAAATTACATAAGAAATTTATTTTTTGATGAGAGAGAGAACCAGCCCCCAATACCTACGGAAACAGGACCACCTATACTAGTGGCAGAAATAAGAGCAGCCATAATATCACTAAAAGAAGGTAGAGCTCCAGGACCAGACGGAGTACAATCTGAATTTCTTAAACTTTTGATGATGAATCTTTAAGAGTACTATGTAAAATCTTCAATAATATCTATGACACAGGCAATATCCCAAAAGATTGGCTACTTTCAGAATTTATTACCTTACCAAAGAAACAGGGAGCAAAAAAGTGAGGAGAATATAGGCTAATAAGTCTAATGAGCCATACATTAAAACTTTTTTTTAAAATTATACATCGTAAAATATACAAGCTATGCGAAGAGAGAATACAAGACACACAGTTTGGATTCATGAAAGGCGTAGGTACAAGAGATGCACTGTTTAGTCTACAAGTATTATTTCAAAGATGCAGAGATATGACTTGCGATATTTACACCTGCTTTGTGGACTACCAAAAAGCATTTGATACAGTTCAACACCAAAAAATGATGGATATTCTAACAAAAGCCCAAATGGATGATAAAGATCGGCGTATAATACAAAATTTATACTGGAATCAATCAGCCACAATAAGAACGAATTTTGGAGATGAACCAACGGAAATGATCCAGATTCTACGAGGCGGTAGACAAGGTTGTATACTTTAATCTATATTCAGAGGAAATATTTAGTGAAGCCTTGGAAAAATGCGAACATGGAATACTTCTAAATGGAGAACGCCTAAACAACATCCGTTATGCAGACGACACCGTTATTTTTGCAGACAGTTTGAACAGTTTACAGCAACTAATAAACAAAGTAAATGAAGTAAGTGAAAGATTTGGACTTCAAGTAAATATAACAAAAACTAAATTTATGATCATCAGCAAAATAAAGTTAGAGACGCTCAACTACTTATCAATAATACACCAGTGGACCGAGTAAAACAGTATAACTATCTTGAAACAACAGTAAATGAACAATGGGATCACTCACAGGAAATAAAATGTAGAATAGAGAAGGCTAGGAGTGCATTCAATAAACCCTTTAAAAGCCACAATCTTAATCTGGAGATAAAAGTAAGGCTCCTACGATGTTATATCTTCTCAATATTGTATTACGGAGTTGAATCCTGGACACTAACTGAAGCATTGGAGAAAAAACTTGAAACCTTCGAGATGTGGCTCTACAGGCGAATTCTAAGGATATCATGGACAGACAAGATAACCAACGAGACCGTATTACGAAGAGTGGGCAAAGAAAGAGAGGTGATGTATACCATTAAAAGGAGAAAGTTGGAATATCTCGGACATATAATGAGAAACAGCACTAAATACAGATTACTGAAGATAATCCTACAGGGTAAAGTATTCGGAAAGAGAGGAATTGGGAGAAGGAGAATATCATGGTTGAAGAACCTGAGGAAATGGTTCTCCACAACAACAACGAATTTATTTAAAGCAGCAGTTATAAGCAATAAAATAATTATAGCCAGAATGATTGCCAATATTCGGAACGAATAGGGAGAATAAAAATGTTCCTTTTGTATATATATATATATATATATATATATATATATATATATATATATATATATATATATATAATAGAATATAATATGTATTAATATTGTTATTTATGTGATGTGTTTTGTATTATTTATTAAACGTTTATAATTATTTTAGGCTTTTGTATTTCAAAATAATCACTGTTTGACCGAGAACTGTCAATTTTGAAATCCGTTATTATCGTGTCTAATTGGCAAATCTTTTACGTGTTTGGCTCATACGCTGGTGGTTGTGAGTTCGAATCCCAATTATGAATTTCCTTTTTTATTTTTTAAATATTTAAAAACCTCACGTTAATATTATTAAATATATGTAATATACGCAAAAATGCTAAATTTTAAAATAAAATGAAAATTTACAACATAATCCGAGATGTTGGTTTTTATTTTTATCTTCGTAATGTAAGTTATGTATATTGGCATTTTTAAATACTTATGAATATTACATTTTAATTTATATTGTATTATTATATTGAATTATATTGCAGTTTATTTATTGTATTGTAATTTTTGCATTATTAACAAAATAAGCAATGAATTTTACTGCAGAGCATGTGTAAATTTTTTTATGCTTTCAACTCCTTTTATACATATATAAAAATAAAAAAATATATATTTTGATTAAAGCATCGATACAAT